GCTAAAACATCACTGAGGTCACTGTGCTTCATGGGAATACAAAGAATGCCACTCATGGCTCTGAAGAAATTGCAAGATTGATTTTCAGGAGTTTGGGTCCTAAATGGCTGTTATATTTAATAAGAATCTCCAATATTCTAGCATGGAAGGAAGATCAAAGCAATTACTTAGCTCTTGCAAAATGAAGTCTGGAAAGTTCCAAAGTATCAAAGTATGCAGGTTGAAATAGCAGGAAGTCTTCAACAAAGCATGTGTGAGATGAATGGGATGTTTGAGAAAGGCTTTTCAGGGCCAGGTTCCAATTCTGCATAGTGCTTGCTTGGTTTTGTTCCATGTGCTCAATTATTATTATGTATAGTTTTATAGCATTATCATAAAGAGATCCTTAAAAAAATGGAGACAAAAGTGAAAGCCAGGTCCTTCTTTCCGTTGCTTTTTTTACTTCTTTCTTTTCATGAGCTGCAGCCTTTGCCACTTTTCTTCCTTTCCCCTGGACTGTTTCAGAGTGAGATGTGGATATTCTTCCAAATGGGTTTTTGAATGTAGTCCCTAGGGATGCATTTTAACTGATTCAAGTTGTGAGGCAGATTGTGCAAATTGCTCAATGTGTGCAGTCAGGACCACTGCAAAAGTAAATCCCCTTCTGCAGCTGCTTTATTTGCAGTGGGACTGCGATGGATGTTCAGGAAAAGCAACTCAGCTAAAAAAAAAGAAGGGTACTTCAATATTTGGATGTTTCATCCTTGGGAGGAATAGTTTGCTCCTTGACTTCTTTATCTTCCAAGCTGTTTCTTGATCTTTCCAGCTTGAGGGAGAGGATCTGTAGGGAAGTTCTGGGGGGTGTTCAGTAGTTGTACCACATGTCTGTGGATGTTTTCATGGCAGCAAGGTTTGGGAATTATTACAGGCTACAAGGAGACAAAGTCTTGACTTAGACATTATGGAGAGAAGGAACCTCGAGTGAGAATTCAGTGAGTGCCATTGGCCCCAGAAAGAATGAGACTTTCCCTTCCCATTCTGTAAGGGGAAGATGGTTGACTGATACATTCTTAAAAACTTGCAGGAATGGGAACACTGCAAATTCTACAGGCAGCCTTCTGTGTGTACTCCCCTAATGTTCAACTGAAATCTCTCTTGGTGCAGCTGAAACTCATTTTGGGATTATATTTTAGGTCCATTATGTCTTCTCTTATTCCCAGTGGAAAAGGAGAGTAGCACCCACTAATTTTTACATATTTGGCTGTAAAGGCTTTCCTTATACTTTCCTGACTATATAAATCAATATTTCTCAAAACTGGACCCACTGTTCCAGCTGCAGCCTTACCTGTATGAGTGCACTGGATAGATTATTCCACACTTCTTCCACATAACACACTAACTAATACAGCAGGAAATGCTTGAGCACTTTTATCAGCAAGTTGCTGTTGTCTCTCATTCAGCTCATTTTGACTCCACAATCTCTTCTGTCTTATGAGTCATCTGCTCTATTGTAATTGGGAAGTTAATTGTTTCCCTCACAGAAAAATGCTTTTTGCTTGCCAAATTGAGTTGCATCCTGCTAATTTAGACTCTCCAAATTGTGAAAATTGTTTTGAACTCTAATCCTGTTCTTCCTGTACTTGCAATGGCTCCCAAATTCATGTCATCTGAAAGGCTTGATAAGTTCTCCCTGCCTTCTGGCTTTCAGGAAATATTGAATGATTCTAGAAGCAGAACAAACCCCATGAACCACGTCATCCATCTCTCCAGTTGACAGTAAGCCATTGATAACTGTTCTGAATACAATCTTTCAACAGGCATCTACCTGCCTTACATTAGTTTATGGTAATTCTCTCTTTTGAACTACTCCTGTTTGGCACATTTCCTTCTCATCCATCACTGCATGCTGAAAGTGATTATGATTTTATTCTCCATTTGTTTCTGGGTTGAACTGAAGCAGAGCAGGTTGAATGCTCGGTGAGTTAATGTTCTGTGTGCTGGGTGTGTGTTGGTGTTTGGTGAGCCTGGGTTGTGTTCTAAAAATAAACAGATGGTTTCAGTGCTTCCTGAGGACTGGTGAATAAAGCAAAAGAGCAAATAAATATCCTTGAGATTCTATATGCAGAACTCTCTTAGCCTGTATTTGTCTTGATCATGATAGATGAGGATGGAGCTTTTTGGTGTTTAGAAATTTGCCTCCTAAGAGGTATCAACACTTCCCTGTTGCTGACCTCAATTCTATAGATTCTGAATGTAGTGGTAACAATCAGTCCATGTAATTTGGATAGATTTGGTTCTTAAAAACCTTCAGTTCCTCTTACAGTAATTTAAACAGTAAACTTCTTTTTAGAGTTTTATTTTATTTGAAATTGAAACTTGACTTCGACTCAGCTTCTGGCAGTGGTTTATGGTCTGTGACAGTGGATGTGTATAAAACTGTTGAAACAACAGCTTGTGTTAGTACCTTTATACAGAAAAGGAACCCAAAAATTTGTATGTCTTAAAAGCCAAAATTTTAATTTTTATCTTGGCACTTCTAAAGGTATTTAATCTGCGTGATATATTTCAAACCATAGGCAAGGGCTAAACTGTTCAATGCATCAAGAGACAAATTAAAATACCTGTCTGGGAAAAAACATCAATTTAGTGAAATAATTGACTTTTCTTGGTGGAAACTGCAGAATACAAAATATGGCATCTCCTACAACTCATCTGTAGGCTAGAATTCACTATGTAAATTAGGTTAAAAATACAAACAAACATAGAAACTCTGCCTAAAAAAATAATGGAGATAAAGTACAGTATGCTTAATGCAAGCCCTATTGAAATAAGGGTTCATTGATATTTGGATCTGCTATATTAGTGAAAAAAAAATGAATGTGGACCAAATTCTGATAGCCTAGGTTTGCATTAGCATGCTTTTTATGAGTCATTTCACTTATAACAATAGACTTATTTGCAGAATACATCATTATTATTCATCAATAGTAACCCAGTCAGTCCAAACCAGCCACAACTGTCAGATGCTTTTAGAATTAAGCATCATTTACTTTCCTTATCCAGGCTGCCATGGAGGAAATGACCCTACTCCTTCACTGACTATATTTTGCACCTATCAAATCTGATAAATGGGGTTTATTGTTCCCCTGTTTTCACTCAGAAAACTTAACATAAACATTTTCTTCAGCGTGGGCTGAATAAATGTGGGCCCCCTCCTGGGGCACTTTCACCTGCTGGGCCATTGGTCTTGAGGCTCCAAACCCCACTTATGGTGGGCTTTTTATTGCCTGTTCTGGAATGAAAACTCACTAATTGAAAGTTTTCCTGTCCCTCTGCTCATGTTCCTGTGTCACCTGCTGTAGGAGACCCTTCCTTGGCAGAGGGGCTGGACCTGCTGATCTCCAGAGGTCCCTTTCAACCCCAGCCCTCCTGTGGCTCCGAGTTCCTCAGGAACAAGAGATTTCTCTGCCTCAGCTGCTGCACACCTAAGGCAGAGGTTTTGTTTCCCTGCAGAATTATAAAATATGTGAGGCAACAACAAAAAACATTTCATGGAAAAAAATTACAAGAGTGTAGGTTCCAAGCCTGCTTTTATGTTATATTGGGAGGTTTATGGAGGAAGTGTATTGCTTTATTTTAAATGCCTTACACCCCCTGGCTCTTAGTGTGGTCCCCAGCCATGAAAAGAAGGTGTGATCAGGTTCTTAGTATTATATTGTTAAAGATAAATGTATATTTCATAAATATTAGCATTTTCTTTATAATTTGAAGCTTTTAGAATTTACTAAAAGGCATCTCTATTAATGCAACAAGACTATTCCTTTATTCTACATGAATAGGTAATCTCAGCATTTCACTCAGAGTGTCTTTCCTAAAAAGCTTGGTTAGTAGAACCTGTGCTAGACAAAAGATTGAGATAGATGAAGCCTCCACAGCTTTTCCAATCCCAACAAAGAAAGCAAAACTAAACCAAAGATTTGTTGTTACTGTCAATATGTGCAAGGAAACATTATTTCCTTTTTAATTGATTAAAAAAAGCCATATTTCAATGGAACATTTTGAATTGTTTTCCCTAAGTTTAGTGGAGCGTCTTTAGTGTGTAATGATCTTATGACTATGGTGGACTTTACTAAACTGCAGTGAGCACTATTTAAATTTACCTTTAAACATTTAGGATTAATTTAAACATTTAGGATTACACTTTAAATACATAATGTGAATGTAATACCACATTACAGGTGGAAAAATTTTGGAAAGAAAAAATTATTTGATTATTTCTTCTACTACATGTCCCTGAAATCTCTAGGAATTTACCGTGGATCTGGCCATGGAATTAACCTAACTCTCCATTGCTGATGTTTCCTTCAGCCCACTGACATTTTATAGTTTGGTACACAGCAGATCATTGAACTTCTGTAGGTTTAAAAGCTTCTAACCTTATAAAGTAGGTGATGGCAGCTTCCTGAGGTTGTACCACAGGTGACCTCCTTTGAGCAGAGTGGAGTCTTTCTCCTGTTCAAGTTTAAGCACTCAGTTTAACACTAAAGAAAACAGCTGTAGCCTGAAATATGCACAAGAGCAGATTAAATAACGGGTTTGGGTTTAAATTATTTCAAACAATCTGAACAAATGTGGTTTATAGTGTTCACAGAGTCAGCTTTCTATGTGGTTGTCTTCTGTTTGGGAATTCTGTGGGGAAAAGATGGATTTCTGTGGGAGGCAGGGCAGAAACTACAAAGTTTGTCAGGAATAAAATGAAAAAGAAATATGTATCAGATCCATGATTAATTCTTGGGTTTTGAACCACAGTTTCAGTGCACTTCTAATTAAATCAAGGTAAGTGACCTCTAATACAATTTTTTCAAAATCTCCAATTCTTTTTCATCCTTTGTATTAAGAGGCAACCTAACTGGACCTTGGACATTTTTTTGTATACCAATATTTGCATGTATCCATAAAAACAGCTGCAAACTGAATTTGTTTCTTACCCCCCCCCCCCCACCCCCCCTCCACTATTGTAGCTATAATTAAAACAGCTCTTCCCAACATGGACAGAGAAGCCAAAGAAGAATATTTTGTGGTCATCCAAGCAAAGGACATGGGAGGACATATGGGTGGACTCTCTGGAACGACAACAGTGACAATTACCCTCAGTGATGTGAATGACAATCCTCCTAAGTTTGCACAGAGTAAGTGCCATTATATGTGTGTGTGCTTCTATTTGAGAAGCTAATGTTTCTCTTTTTTTTTTTTTTTTTTTTTTAAAATAAATTTTTTTTTTTTTTTTTTTAAGATCAAGTATTTTTTTATCTTCATATTGCCTTGGTTTTTAATGTAATTTAAAAGATAAAATTGTGACTAGAGAAAGGTTAATCGTCCTCTGTCTGATTAAGAGCTTAGGAAAGAGGGCGTTATGTCCACAACAGTGTACAGATCTCTGCCTTCCTTGTTACCCCTCTTACATCCACCAAAAAGGACCCGGAGACTGCTGAAAACATTCATTTCCTCTCAGTGCAGTTGTTTCTGTGTGCTTTGTTGCTTCCATCTCATTCAGACAAGTGACACCACCAGTAAAAGACACATATAACAGATAAAAGGAATAAAAGCCTTGACTAATTAGGCAATACTGAAGAAAACAAAGGAGATAAGTCTGAATCTAGATAATTGTTGATCTTTAATTCAAAATCCATATTTTCTACTGTGGTTCCAATGGGTATCTTGCTGAGCTAGGTTAAAATGATTTGGCAACCTGCTGAGATTCTCTTCAAGCTTTGTAGTCTATTTTCAAGATGAAGACAAAAAAGAAAAAAAGAGGAAGAAAAGCATAATGACTGGATTGATTTTATTTGGAGCGGGTGCAACCTAATACACTATTATAACTGTAGCATTTTACCCAGCTTCTTCTGGAAAATTAAAGTTTAAAGTATTTGAGGCTGCATCTAGATTTTTCATCATTTTTTGTTTTCTTATAAGTATGTTTTTCTAAAAAGCTGCTCGAAGACCCAGTGTACAGTTAATTTTTTCCATCTATGGATGACTTCAGCTCCACTTTTGCCCTCTTCTGAGGACACAGAGTAAAATGGGTTTGTCCTAGTGCTCAGCATATGATAAATCTGCTTCTGTAGCCTGTAGAAAATGTACATAGAAATGGAGAGAGAGAGAGAATTCTAATACAAATAAGCAGAGGCAAAAGCTTATTTTCAAAATATATATTTTATTACCTCATCTTGGTGGGTTTTAACAGATAAGCACTCTGCACAATAAAAGGTTTTCTCTCATAAAGCAGGAAATGCATTAATTTTTTACTTTGTGTCCCGTTGCATTGCCTTTCCCTGTGTGTTAGTGTTTTCCAAGAATTTCCCTAACAATGCAATGCCTAGAGATGAACTCTATCACCAGCCTGCAGAGGGATGTCACTTTTATACCTGCAGTGTCCTGTGGCTCCAGCTCAGGGAGCACAGCCCTGCCTTTGCCAGCTTACCTGGCATTTCTATTGTACAGCACTGCCTCAGAAAGCCCAACGTGGCAAAAATCTGACCTGAAATTCAGCAGCACTTCTGGTCCAAACTGGGGCAGGATCCAAACCCAGGAGCACAGCTTGTGGGGGTGAAGCTGCCCTTTCCCAGTGCTTTTGGGCACAGTGGCACTGACTGGGGGCACCAGCAGGGCTGCATCCTTATCCCTGGAATGCATTTGCTCCTGGATGAGTTTTCCTGCAGCAACAAGGAAGGTGCTGCCTCTGAATCCTGCAGGATTTGAGCTTCCTCCTGGGAATACCCACTGACCATTATGCAAATTCTTTAGGAAAAATCCCTGCTGGTTTTATCACTGAGTATTTTGTATTTATTGCTTTAATTATGAGCCATAGTAACTTTAGAGCTGGGTGTTATTATAAATTCTGTGCTTTAAAAGGCAGCATTCTGAGCTGGCTGCCCAGTACCACAGATTAGCCACAACTCTGCCCTTGGACAAGAGCTGAGCAAGTCTGACTTTTTTTTTTTTTTTTTTTTTTTTTCACTGTTGAAGCACAGTTTGTGTTTGCCTGGAAAGGAAAATAAGAAAGGATCAAACTTACAATAAGCCTAGCCAGAATGAAATCGAAATTCATAAGATGTAAGACATACTGCTTGCACAATAAATGGTAATGAGCTCGGGAAACAGGGTGTTAGATCGGGTTATTGTTTCCAGGCAGGACAGAAATGTATATTTATGGTTTGATTTCAGAGCGTTAGTCTCCTGGGTTTTAGAAATGAAAAAGATGAACTTTCACTACTTCTGTGATCTCTCTGAAATAATTTTAGAGGCATTTTATAAGTCACTGAAGTTTTTAACCTGGCAGTTTACCACAGAATTGTAATGAGAGGAACTGTGCACTGCTGTGGAAACCCAAGGCTTTCAAAGGTGCCCAGTGTGGATATTTTGGTCAGCTCAGCACTATGACACAATTCATAATTCTGGAGAAGAATTTGTGTAAAAGAGTAAGCTGCATCATAATTTTTAATTTTCTCCTTAATATTTTGTAAACTATTTTAATAAATCTGAGAGCAAAATTTCAAGTTAACAATGCAATCAGCTGTGCCTGGAGATTCAGACCACAAAGTGTGGACAGCAGTGTAAATGATGAATGCTTAATTTAATCTCCCAAGGCACTTCATTGCTTTGGCTGCTCATTGTTTTTGAGCCATTATAGATATTCTGAGGAATCTTGATGATCTCCAAATTATCTCTAATAATTTAGCCTAGGAACATTAGAAACAAGTCACTTTGGGACTTCATTGTGTAGCTAATACATGTATTTATGAATTCCTGAGTCTCCTTCCTATTTTCAGCTGTTGCTACTGCAATCAACTACAACAGGTAAAACAACAACTCCAGAACATTGTTTTTGGCAAATTATTACTTGCACTTAACAGATTGTCTTAGAACAACAGGGAGGACAGAGAAGAACAAGGCCAGAATCCCATGTTAAAAACTGTTTTAATAGTCTCTTCTATTATCCTTGAATTCTTTTTGCCTATTTTAACTCCTGAGCAGCATTTTGTTTGATTAGACCAAGCATTAACCTTAACTTCAATGAGAGTATATTATAAAGAGGTAGAAATATAAGGACTCTAGAAGGAATTGTAGGTATAAAATGCTTATCTTCTGGTTTTTAGAGTACTGTTAAGAGCAGGGAGATACAAAAGAAAATGGGTATTTTGCCTTAAAAAAAATTCTACCTAAAATAATATATTTAAATAGATTTTTGATGCTTTTTTGCTTAAAAGGTTTGAAGCAGGTGTAACAAAAAATAAAATGCCAACAATTTGAATAGCAATTTCAAATGGATTTTAGTGGAACTCTGCAACAAATAGGAAACACAGTAATGTTTAATATGAAAAGTTGTTTCCAGTAAAAAAAAAGGGAGTTTCCTTGAATGTTTCCTGATTAGTTTCTTACCACAAAAGAGAGGTGGAAGAGTTTAAACAAACTTAAATTGCATTTTAAAAAGTAGTAAATATTTCAAGTTATGTAGAAAATTTGTTGTGAAGTAAAAGCAAAAGTTTCTTGGTTGAATTGTAACTCCTTGTCAATAAAACATCTGTATAAAAAGGTAAGTTCTGCAGTGTTGAAAGGAGCTCAATACTTGTGTTTGCCAACACAAAACATCCCTGCAAGGCAGGAGGAGGAGACTGCTGGAATGGAAAAGACACTCACCTGCAGTAAAGTGAATATTCTTGTGTGAGGACCATGCTCTGCTGCTTCCAGGCAATAACTTGTGTAAATGGGGCTTGGATCAGTTGCTCATCTCAAGAGTTGGCACTGGGGACCTGTAAACATTGAAGAGCACACAGGGGACGTTGGGACCAGCTTTAATGTTTAGTCTTTTCCTCTTATTTGTAAGGTCTCTATCACTTCTCAGTAATGGAAGATGTTGCTCTTGGTGAACCAATAGGAAGGGTGAAAGCAAATGACCTGGATATTGGAGAAAATGCTAAATCATCCTATGATATTATTGAAGGAGATGGAATGGATGTATTTGAGATTACTACAGATGCCCAAACTCAGGACGGCATTATTAGAGTGAGAAAGGTAAATCATATCTCTGTTAAAAACATAAATGTTCATTGTACATGCAACTACCCAGCCAGATTTGGCTCTGTCAGAAGATGCTGGATTTCCAGGGATTCTCTTATCTATGGATGAGGTGTCAAGCCAGTGGAGAGATGAAAAGGGGTGTACTGGCCATGTTCTTCTGAATTTTCATAGAGAAAATTGACCACTGGGGAGACATCCATGGGTGCTGGAAATGTTAATCTTATCCAGGCTCCCATGTGGTTGCATCATGCAGATTCTGCTTCCTTGGATCCAAAGGAGAAGAGTAGATTAAATTCCACTGTGGTGGTGGTTTAAACTTCTGAAAAATCTTGGCTGAGTATTCATCAAGTAACTTCTCTCAATTATTTGATTTCCTGTGTAGCTGTTCAGAGAAAAATAAATCACAGAGCATTAATTAAATTACCTGATATGTGAGAGCTTAGTCTTCTACCTGTCTTCACCCAATGAACAGGGATTTCAGTGAATTTTCAGTAGTTTCACGTGAGAAATGCCAAATTTGGGCCCTAATGAAAACCATGCTATCTCTTCTATGCTTTTACAGTCTTGATGTGTATAAGGTGGGGTATTTGCATGTACACAACAAAAACACCACCCAATTATGTACAGAAATATGGGGAGAGGCAGCATAGAATTCAACTCCTCTAGTAAAGCCAGAGAAACATTAATTGCAGATTTATTTGTCATTATTTTCCAGGGAAGGAGAAAAAGCTGTTCCTCATGCTGTGTTCTGAAAAAGGATATTAATATAATTTATAGCAGTGGCAGAGGGTTTTAACTGCATAGCACAGATCACTCTAAATGAATCTTTGTTTATAAAAAACAAAAGTAAGCAAAACCCAAACCATGATATTCCAGTGAGAAAAGGTGAATCCAATGAGCACAGGTAATTAATATTCCACTTGTACCTGTCATTAAAGAGGTCAGGCAGATTGCCTGTCAAAACTTTGTGTTTTCTCTTTCTCAGTGAGTAGGTCAGCACTGTAGATTTATAATAAATGGATGTATATTTATCTAAATTCACATTTGTTTTTCTAAAGAGAAAATTATGATATACATCCCAGCTCTTCCTTACTGTTATTTATTGTATGCTGTGGCCTCTCTTGTAAGCTGAGGCAATTAGCCTTTTGCCCCACTTCCCTTGGCTTTATTTCATAACTGAATCTCAACCATAATGTTTCATATTTTCATTTTGACAGCAATAATAATTTTGGTTCTAGTCCACTAGATGATGTATGGAGGATACTGCTCACCAACAGATTTTCTTCAGCATAAAATCATGGGCTTTAGACAATGCTGAGTAAATTTTCAATATGATATTCTGATTAAGCATGACTAAATGTATTGGGGTGCTGTCATTTCTGTAAAGCTTATGAAAAGCAATTGAAAAAGTGCTACAGGAGCCATGATTGGCAAATTGTGAATATGCTGATTTATAAATCCCCATTCATAATTTCAAAAGCATACTAATTTAAGAGGTGCAAAAGAAGCAAGATTTTCTTGTGTTTACTAGAATTTGTGAGAAAGAGCAAATCCCATTAGAGCTTGATTCATACCTGAAAAAAATCAACAGAATTTGAAGATATACATATTGAAGGCTTTGACAGACTTCCTGAAGATTCCTGTTTGTGCTCTTGCTGGTATTTGCATTACAGATTCAGAGTGTCTATGTCCTCTTCTTTTTATCCCTGAGACATTATAATGCAAATCTTAATATCTTTCCAGTGCTTGGCAATTTGCATCTTTGAAATTTGAATCGTTGTGAGACACAAGAGAATTATGAAGTGAATATACTGATGTGCTTCAAGACACAAACTTGAATCTCCCATAATGAAAAAGTCTAACACTCAAAAGTGTCACAGATTTGGGGTTTATTTGGTGTTTCAGCCCCTTAAATCCACTGAGTTTTCATCTTTTATGAGTTAATATAGGACTGTAAAATAGTAAAAAGCAGTGGTAACATGGCAGGTATATTGATAGAGTAAAGTAATTTGTTTTGTGATTCTGTCTGTGGGGAAAAAAATAAAGATAAAAGATACTAAAGTAGAAATTGCTACGGTTTTTAGAAATTCCTGAGAGAGGTCTACCTCATTTACTCCTATAAATGGAAATACAGAGGTACTTGTAGTGCAAGAATATTGAAGTACCTTCTCATATGATTAGGTCTACATTTTGCCTCTTCTGTCCAACAAATAATAATTTCTAGTTCTTTGCATTTCTCTCATTGTTCTGGAAGTAATAAAATATTTATTCTTTGTGAAGCCAGTGGAATTTATTTTCTTATCTCCAGCCAGGAAAGCACTGATGAAGTGCATTATTGGTATGCAACTCGTGTCATCCCAAACAAATTTGTAGTGTATATCTGATATGTAATTGTAATGGTCTAATTCACGAGAGGGAATATTTCAGTAAATTTCTTGTGAAAAACAAGGAAACAGTGCTGTTTTCTCTGAGGCTGGTAAATAAATAGATATCAGTATGTGCCTAGAAAATCTGGAGGTTGAATTTCTGGGAGAGGGAAATAACTGCATTAAAACTCATTTCATGGGCTTAAAAATGCACATAACTCCCATCCATCAGCATTTCTAGCACTTGTTTTCTGTGGCCATCAATAAATGACATTTATCTTTATCCTTCTCAACAGCCACTGGACTTTGAGACCAAAAAGTCCTACACCCTGAAGGTGGAGGCAGCCAACATCCACATTGACCCTCGCTTCCTCAGCGGGGGCCCCTTCAAGGACACAGCAACCGTGAAGATCGTGGTGGAGGATGCTGATGAGCCCCCAGTCTTCTCCTCACCCACTTACCTCCTGGAAGTACATGAAAATGCTGCTCTCAACTCCGTGCTGGGGCAGGTGGCAGCCCATGATCCCGACGTGTCTTCCAGCCCTATAAGGTAGGGCTGCTTGCAGGTGTTCTTTGGGAATGCTACTGGCTGACCCCACTCACTGTGTGACTGTTTTCCTGCTGTTCTTTTTATGGGAAAATTCCTGGGTAGGATTTGGTTTGTGATGTTAGATTTACCAGCTCAGATCATTTTCAAGGTCCCCAAATGCTCCTTGCAATAGTGGTCTTATAAAACAGAGGAATGCAGTGAAAATAAGAAATGTGAGTGGTTCTTATGAGAAATGAGGTTGGATGGGGTTGAATCATCAGAGAGTATCTCTGCAGTGAATTTAAATAATCTGATAGTGTCTGCATTAACAATACTGAGTTTATGCCACGCCAGTTGTAGAGTTGTTAAAATGTATTTTGTATCCCTTTGTCTAAACCCATTCCTGGTTTAAAGATACAAAAGTCACAGATGATTATGCCCATATGACTTCTGCATCTTCAGTTTATACTATTTTCCCTTTTTGATCTAATTTGAACAAAATATTTTATTCCAGTAGGATCAGATCAGTGAGTTTTATCTAATTTTATGGGCACACATGTTCCCCTCCTCTTTGGTAGTGATTGGATGGTGTGATAAGTGTTCCAGAGCACATTCTGCTCTGTAGTACTGCCTGCTAAAACATTAGGAAAACCAATACTAAAATGTGAAATTCATAGCAAAAGTATATGTGGAGAGAGTCTATTTAATAGTTGTCATCACTGTGCATTGCTGCCTCAGGGAATTTAGGCCAGGCAGCATCAGGACGATGAGAGGATGATGTCAGCTGTTATAATTCATCATTTTCTATCACTGTGATTTTCTAATCATTGTCACTTCCATCAGGTTTGTTGCAGAGCTGGACTTTAAACCTTTACATAGAGGCCCTGCATGACACTTATCATAGTATAGTATCTTCAGAATTAGAAATTGAGAATTGCCAACATGTTTGGATGCTTTAGGACTTGCGTGTGAAGATGCTGGGAGAGTATGTTTGAGTTTTACAGAACTTCCTCCTGAGGGGCAGCTCTGATCTCCCCTCCCTGGGTCAGAGACAGCACCCAGGGAACATCTGGAGATCAGGGAAGGTTCTGTGTCCCCAGAGGTGCTGGCACTGCCCAGGGAATGGGCACAGCCCCGAGGCTGCCACAGCTCCAGGAGCGTTCGGACACCAGGGATGGACAGGGGGATGCTGGGGGGTCTGGGCAGGGCCTGCAGGCAGACTCGATTATGGGGTTTTTTGAAGGAGTTTTGAATGAGTTAGAGATGGGACCTCTGAGATTTTTAGATGATGCAGTTTATTTTTCTTATCTTCTACATAAACAGGAAGGGTGAGCTCAGCTCGTATCTTCACTGAGTGGTTCAGAAGGTCACAAGACCTTTAGTTACAAGGTCTTTTACGTATTTATTGACCAATAAAACACTGTCAACAAGGATATTTTTTTTTTTGATCCAATCCTTAAATATTTCATCTTATGGATCCATGCTACAGCATGAGCTTTCTTAGCCAATCACGTTATAACACACAAACCTACAATACTGCATTCTGAACTCCTTGTTTACCGTTGTATCTACTTCTATTTTTTCTGTATCTTAAACTCTGAAACTCTAAACTTTACTTAGCTTAACATGTCTCTGCTTTAAACTATAAATCCACATCCTTGCTTCTGTCACCTAAGTTTGGAGGCCTTTTCCAAGGTCTCAGATCAAATCCTGTGTTTAATTCTAAGCTTTGCCTTACAAGTCCAAAGTTCTGAGAGTTCCTTGCATTTCAGATTCCAACACTCAGTAATCCTTGGGGGTCCCTTTCCACTCAGGAAATCCTCTTATTCTATGATTCTCATTTCTGAATCAGACCCAAAAACAGATAAAAACAGCATCAGCTACCATAGATTCCTAAACAAAAACACCATAGAACGGCAGGGTTCAATCTGTCACAGTTGAAGCAGTGGCTCCATCCCTGATTTTTTTTCTTGCTGCTGCCCACTGGTGTCTGTGAAAAGGACAAAAAAGATCCCCTGAAAGGAATGTGAGACCAGCCATGGTGACAGCAAGCGGGCTCCGTTCCCTGCACTCCAGCTCCTCAGCAATCTCTCTGTCAGTGGAACCCCAGTTCCTTCCCTCTGCCCTGCCCTGCTTTGCTCTTGGCTGGGTCCTGGCTCCTCTGCCCCATCCCCTCTGCTCCTCATCCCAGCCTGCTCCACCCCTGCCTCACTTTTACCTTGCCTGCTTTTCCACTCTTGTTCTGCTGCCCTGGAATTTTTTTCTCACCTGTCTCAAACTCTTAATAATTCAGAAAAAAACATAATAATTTTACAAACCTACCTCTGTTCTAAAACTTAGCCTTTTTGTTCTGTCCAAGCCACAAAAAAATGGATCTGAGTAAAAGATTTATCTAGTTTCCACTTTTTCATAATTTTATAAATCAAGAAACAATCAAACTTCTAAAAACAAAAATACTTTGTGTTTGTAAACTGAATTAGAAATGTTATTGCTCATCAGGTCATATAAAAACACTTAGCATACATGAAACAGAAATGGCCAAAATAAATTAAATTTTTTAAAAGGTAATTTATTAGTATGATTTGTATATTTTCTTTAAATAATAGATACAGTACTTTATAAGATTTAATATTATCTAAAATATTGGCTTAATAGCTAATTAAGGAACATACAGAGCCAAATTTTCTGTGCAACTTTTTTGCGCTTGTTTGCTTTCCTGATTAATTTCGATTTATCTGGGAGAGCTCTAGAAAGCTCAGATTCTTCAGGGATTTTTTTGCATAAAAATATTTTAAGGACAGGAAAAATTTCAAGTTAGTAATTCTACAATTAAAAGAGGGAAAATAGTAGTTGGAGACAAGTAGGGAGCAGAATACTATTCCTTTCTTTCCAATTTGGAACAAAACAGAAAGCTGGCATGTTCTAACAGAAACATATTCAAGCAGTGGTTTTATTGATTGGAATCTACATTTCAGATGTTTCTTCTATTATTGAATCATGTATATGATACAGATTGTATGCATATTTTCTATTATACCAAAAATATCAAACTTTAGTTAAAAATCTGAAAAATTACAACAAGCTGTTCTAAAACTGGTGGACTGTTTTAATGTTAGTGTTGCCTGGCCTTTTAAAATCCCTTTTTTTTCCTTCAAGACAGAATTTTAGCAGGCAACAACGAATTGTATTTCAAGGAAATTACATTTTCTCAATAGATATCTGTTCTATCAATATTTAGCTTAGACAGAGCTACTGTGTACATTTGTTATAAAAAGCCAGGCAGCACAAACAAAATATGAATCACCTTCTGTGCTCCCAATACCACGTCTGCTTTGCATTAGTCTGGTACACAAAGGCTCCACACATTCAGAGGATTGCAGTGCCACAGATGAAATCAAACTTGGATGTCTCTGAACATGGGAAGAGTCTGGTAATTGAGTCAAAAGATAAAATGTTAAAGAATTTTAAAAAGTTATTATAAAATACAGCCTGGAAAGAAGCTTGTGGTCTTAGGGGAAGGTGTCCTTGCCCAAGGCACAGGTTAGAATGAGATGATCTTCAAGGTCCTTTCCAACCCAGACTATTCTATTACTTTATTTTTTTTTTTTCTTTTCTTCTTCTTCTTTTTTTTTTTAAAGGAAAAAGAATTGTTCATCCAAATTTCTGGCCAATTCACCAGTAGTTTGTTTTTAATGCTTGCTTAGAAAATATAAAGCATTGTCTGAACTTTCTCCCACTTGATCTGAAGGCAGAAAGCCTCTCATAGGTTTACAAGCAGGTGTGTAGATGGATTTTGGGGCTGTCCTGTGCAGAGCCAGGAGCTGGAATTCGATGATCCTTGTTGGTTAGGATATTCTGTGATCCTGTGATGTTTCTTTTAATTCATCAGCTTTAAAATAAGCAACACAAGCTCTTTTTGATCCTTAGTTGCCATTGTGCAGTGCATAATGTTTAGGGGCCTCCTATTTTTAAGGCTGATGGTGAAAAAACTTTAGAGAGTTAGGTAATAATTGCAAATAATTGCAGTTTGTTGTGTTCCAGCCCAGTAATTTCAGGATTTAGTGTCAGGGCCACATCAGGATGCATGCCTGTCTTTTGGGAAAGGGCCTGTGAGGCTCTGCTGTGGGCAGGGTGGCACATCCTGGGAGCAGCTCTGGCCTGGGGACATCATCCCCTGCTAGCCCACAGCTGTGGCTCCAGCAGTGCTCACTCCATGCTCCTGGTGTTGCTTGATAACGATGCTCTCTTCATCTGCAGTGAGTTATCCTGGATAAAGCATGATCCAGGCACATGGCAAAAGCATGAGCAGTAATGCTTCTTCTCTACTGCAAGTGCCCCCCTATAAATCACTGCCCTTCAGTGGCTTTCTCTGTGGAGAGATAAGAGTCACTGGAACAAGTTTTCCTCATTCCTTTCGGCAGAGATTTCATCTTTGGCAGCAGTTGATCATTTTCTTAATTCACAGCAGGCCTTAAAAACCCAGACCCAATATTTGGTGCCTCCCCAATGGTGCAGTTGTTTATCTGACACTAAGTACCCTGTGCAGTCAGTCTGGCATTAATAAAAATGGTGATTTACCACTCCTGGGGTGTCATTGCTGAGGTTAAAATCACAGAAGGAGCAGCAAAAAAAGGATTTCTGCTCCTATTTACATTGGTGCAAATAAGGAGTAAATCAAATAAAGTCATAACAGCAACAGTGCTAGAGCAGGACTGAGAATCCTTTCCATGCTTCTGTTAAACCACTGTGGGGTTGTTCCTATAATTGCCATAGCAGACTCATAAACTAACCCAACTTCCCAATAACATGTGCTGGCTTTATGGCAATTTCAAAAAATATTCTTTCCCAAGATATTATTTTCTCATTTTTAGAGAAATATATGTTTTATGTATGTTTTATGGATCTGACAATGCATTCCCATTAAAAAGAGTTACAACACCATTATCATGAAGAGGAAACTGCCAATGTATCATTAGTTTTCCCAGGTTTATGACAATGCAGATTTTATTTTTTGGTTTTGTAACAAATATTTATCATATTAAAATGAGGAGAGGGTTTTACCTCTTTGTTGTCTTGCAAAGACACACAGCTTATGTTAAAAATGTTTCCTCTTGAATTGCTGGGTTTGTGTTGTGAGTAAATACTGCTGGGATGAGATGAAATGTGATATAATAAACTCACAAATGTGTCACTCCCTCTTTTATAACTTCAAAACCTGCATGGCAGGAAGGCCGTGAGTAGAAGTTTAAGGATCCTTAGAGAAAAACTGTCTTTCTTCAAAGAAAAAAAGTGGAATTTATGTCAACCCCAGGTCAACTAATCACTGAATACCATATGAGCATTTAACATTTTATTTTGTTTGTGGACTGGGAAAATTTCTTATGTTTGGGATCAGTAGAGTTCTTTCATCATCATTGCCTAAAACTTGAAAATGAAAAGAAAATTTTAAGTGATGACTTCTTACAAACAGCTGACTGCTGTCTTTTCTGGTATTTTCTTGAGCGAAACCCTAAATCTGTGAAAGGCTGTAAGGTATTTTTACTAACTTCACTAGTACCAGAATTTTACTTCTAATTATTTAATTGGAACTAGGGAGACATCAAAATATGGTTAAGATCTATCTTCAAAATTGATTGCCTGAAGTTAAGTACCTACAGCTTTATTCTTCCACACAAGTGACCTGACTTTCAGAAATACTGAGTTTAGTGCAGTTCCCATTAAACCATAGAGAACTGAGTATGTGGAGCTCATGAGAAAATCAGTTTACTTAAATGTCCAAATACACATGCATGTGTCCAGCTTTAGGCACAGATATTTGGAATTTGACTTCATATTTTTTCTGGTATTCTTCTTACCAAACTAGTAATTTTTCAATGAGTAAAAGTAGTTCTTCTCAGTTTCAAACAAAACAAGTAAATATCTAACAAATCCCATTTCATAGTTAAACTGGGGTTTTCCGTCTTAAATCCATTACTTGTTAAGTATCTTAGCAGTGTGATCAGGTTAGTTCTGAACTCTGGCAATGCAATATTTAAACACTTAAACTTTGAGATTTTGATAAGTTTTCATCATTTAGAGCTCTTTTTGAGAGTGAGCTGTATCTTACAGACTGCATTGCACAAATAATCTAATTGCAATGTAACTTTTATTCTAAATATGAAAATGTCTGATACTGAAATTAAAAAAAAAATGAACACAATAATCCTAAGCTTTGAAATCAGATGCTAATGCTGTGTCTATTAAAATTGATTGTGTTGGCTGGAATGAGTTCGAGTTCATTGGAATATATTTATTGTAGTGTATAAAGGGACCTCCAAATCAGAATATTTTTTGGAAATTGCTTCTGCTAAAGCACAAACCAGAATGGAATAGCTGATTTTCAGATAACTATGCCATTCTCACTGTAGTAAAATGCATTCTTTTACTTTTATTGGGGTATTTTAATAATGTGCTTGCAGAAGGTAGAAAAGTGATGAGAAAGTGACAGTCTGGAAACACTTTTCTTGCCACTCCATAAGGTAATTGAGTGTGATACCTTATTCTAACTCACCTAACTATTCTGCCTTGCTGTAATGCAGAACAGATGTAAAAACTGCCAGCGCATGTTGGTAGCTTCTGTAATACACAGACACAAAGGCTTAAAAGGCTTTTGTAGAAATCCACAATTAGGATTCAGTAAAACCCCTTGAAGTCAATTTCTGTTAAACCATATCAATAGTTTATCATTCAACTCCCTCTTTCCCTACCTTTCCTGTCAAGAAACTGAAGGCTCAGTTTTGTAATTTAGTTTCTTTTGGTGAATAATTCATTAATAAAATAACTCTGTGCAAATGGACAAACATAAAAAGCTTTCTGGAGATCTGGACCTGAGCCTTTTAAATCATCATCCTGCTTAATCACCATTGGAACAATCCACTGCAGCTCTGGCTCCCTGCTTGGGCTGCAGAACTTACCTGGACATTCACATTTGCAAACTCTGACTACCTGTCAGATGGAACTTGTTTGGTTAAAAATCAGTGATTTCAACCCACAAAAGAATCAAGCCCCCAGCATTTGCAGTGATTTATAGGAAAAAATGGTGATTCACTGTGCTCTGCCCATGGAGCTGCTTGAGCCATAAGCAAATAATGTGTTTGGTGAATCGTTCATGCTTCGTTAATCTGAAATTTATTGGTAAAAGAAAATTATTCATCCCTTTTAAAAAATGACCACAAAGCCCACCACTTTTGTTGCTTTAATAGATTACTGTTGAAATTATCATCAGTTACTGTGAAATACCATAGAAGCTGTCCAATAAATGTGATGGATTGTGTAATTAACTCTTGATCAGCACTGTTTTTCAGAGATGCTACCCAGTGAACCTGAGGACACTTTACGACCTTCACACTGGGTATACAGCTAATTATTCCTTGGGCAATAATTATTAAGTTTTTTTAGCCTCAGTTTGTCATTTTGTCTTCTAAATTATTATGCTATTGAGCTTCTCAATCCATTTGGCTATAAAACTGCAGCTCTCAGAGGGCTCCCTAAATTGTCTCTGTGACTGTATGGATTACACCAACTTCATTAAGTAGATTACAGGGATGTCTGTTTTGCAGGTTTTCCATTGATCGCCACACTGACCTTGAGAGACAGTTCAACGTCAATGCAGAGGATGGGAAAATAACTCTGGCAACACCCCTGGACAGAGAAACCAGCACGTGGCACAACATCACTATTGTAGCCACTGAAACCAGTAAGTGTTTGAGTACTCTGACTGTTCTGGTGGGTTTATAATTGATTTTGACAGGCTGTGCAGTGGAAACTTTATGTAATTCAGTAAAATAAAATGTATTGGGTGTTCAAGATAGAGAATTTTGGAAATAAGGCTTAATTTTTGTGCAAGCTCATTTTATTTTAGTTTTCACAACAGCATTTTTTTTTCCCAGTGAATATGGCAAAAGATATTCTGAAGCAGTAGATGAGTACAGGGTATTCAGAGTAAACGTTAAAAAATGGTTTAAAAAGCACAAACCAAAGCCTTATAGTTAGCTCTATTAAGACAGAAAAAAATTAAAGCTTTGCTATTGTAGAAGTAAATTGAAGGCTCAACCCAGACGTTCTTAATTCTGAGTGCTATTATGTTTCAGAGCCATAAATGATTAAGCACAGGGGTAATGTTGCATGAAAGTAGTGCTGTTGGATACATATGGATGAGTTTACTCACACCCTACTCTCAATAAGAACCTGCATTGTTCAGGTCCACAGAGCCATGGTGGCTGCTCTGCAAACCTGAGTCAGGAGATCTGCCTTGCCTGGCAATATGGGTCAGAGATTTTAATCAAGGAGAATTCTTAATTAATTTGCAGCTGCTGACAAGATCACACACGGCAGTGTGATTTATTATTCATATTAGCACTGTATTTTAGACAATGCATTCGACACAAGCGTGTTGAGGCAAAGGAGCAGGCGGGGAAGGTGGGGCTGGCACCCCGTGTGGTGTCCTGACCTGGAACACAAAGCCTGGAGCATTCTGTTCTGTTCTGCACTCAGGGTACAGCAGGACCCATTTGGGCACACACAGAACCAGCACTGTAGGAATATCTGCTTGCAGAGCTTGGTGACCAGTGCTGCTCACTCCTGCAGAGAGAGCTGCCTCATGCCATGTCTGCTTGTCCCCAAATCTCTGCTTTGAAGGATACAGCATTGTGGTACAGAGCATTTGAAGCTCAGTTTCACAGTGCTATAGACATGAACATAATTAATTGGTGGATAAAATATGGTTATTTGGCCCATTTTTCTTGTCTAATATCTTTCCTGTGGTACTTGTTGGTGATGAAGATAGACAGGGAATACTGATTCAGTGATCAGAACTGAATTTATTGTGGACTACCAATGCTTATATAGTGTTTTAGGAAGACTAGTAATGTTTACTACAATGATTAGGTTAAAATCACATACAAAAAGTTATGCATATTACAACATCTCTTGCTTGCAGAGTTTAATGAGATTTTCTTTTTCCAGTGAACCAGCCTGATTGAATCTTCTTTTAAAACTTCTCTTTGCTCTTGCTAAGGCATCCTGTTATCAAATCTCTTATGCTAACCAGGTCCAAAGTCCAGCATCTGTCTTGTGTCCCAATATCACAACAGTACTTGTTTTCAAAACCAAACCTGTTAGGAATCCCTGACACATGGGAAAGGTGGGTCTGGGTGTGAACTGAGCTCCCAACCTCCAGTCCTTGTACCCTGTGTTCCTCTGACCCACCTCAGTAATTTGGGGATTTCATTGCCAGTAGTGCCAACAGTGCCCTGTCACTGTGCCATCTTGCAGCCAAACAATACTTTGATAAACTAGCAAAAATAATTTAAACTTCTCTGCTTGCAGGGAAGCCAAGCCACAGGGAAGCACATGAGGAAAGAAAGGAAGGTGTGGTTTCATCAGGCATACTTTTTCCACTTCATATCTAACCAGTTAATAATTTTAATATTTTTAAAGGAAAAATATATAACATGTCCATACAAATTTTCTCAGATCATGAGATTTACCAACACCATGAAAAGCAGAATTATTAGTTTATGATTCATCACTCTCAGATGTTGGAATAGTAAAAGTAAAGTGAAGTCATTTTGCAATTTGTTTTCTCCAAAAAGTCAAAAAGGAACAAGATAAAAAGAATAATTTTGCAAGACACTCCTCCAGTTCATTTTTATATCTCCTTTACATGTGTGTGTCATAGCAAAGCTGCCAGAATTGTACTTTACTAAGCCACACGAGCATGAAGTCTTCCTGTTGGATTTTCATTTTTTTGAAACATAATTATACTCAAGAATTTTGTAAGAAATCAGCCTTGTCATTAGACTTCATGGGAGCCTCAGCATCTACTGCTATTGTAAAATTGCCTCTTATCAGACTGGCTATGAAAATAATAATGCAAATCTTGTTCTGAGCATTTGTGTTCCTGCTGATGGCTTATTTTTGCATTCCTAATATAATTATTTAACATTTACATAAAACAAGAGCTTAATTTCATAGACTACTGTCTTTGCTTATTTAAGTGAAATTATTTTTAAGCTCCTCAAGCAGAAATTAAATTTCCTTGTAGAACTGTCAAACAGGGAAAAATGGGCATTTTTAGATTTTTTTTCCAAGACAGTAATAGACAAAATCTCTGTTGTAAAATAAAAGAAACTGTTGGAGGCAGACACAAGCAACAAATGCAAATGCAAAGTGTGTTATTATAATGCCTTCACTGACAGTCTTATTAATGGACTGCTGATCTCTCACAGGAAAATAAATTTGTGGGAATTGTTCGTGCAGGAGCATTTCCTCTTCCTGGGCTGGCTGCTTCCCAAGGCTTGTGCAAGGCTCTCCTCTCCATCTGCAGGGCAATGACCAAGCCATTTAACTGCCATTAAATTTGCTTACTACTCATAAGCCATCATGCTGGATTTTTATTTCTTAATTTCCAGCATGGTAGATCTTAGATTATATGAATATGTCCTAATTTAGCAACACTTTCATAAATAAACACCAACTTTTGGCAAACCATAATCCACTATTTCAGAGCTTTGTGATGGTAAGGTACCTGCATCTAAATTTGTGCTCTAAGCTGATTTAATTTTTGGCGGTTTCCTGCCAAGACAAAGTTATTTATTTGTATCAGCCCCTCAGCCACTGTCTCAGGTAGGAATATTCCAAAGCAGGATTGGTATGGCTGAATGAAGCGTTACTGATTCTGCATTTTAACTTGAAATGGGGGTGAAGATCCTCAGGCTCAGACTGGCTGATCTTTTTAAAAGTGATCAGATTTAAAATGTGTTATAGTAATAATAATTTTAAATTTAAAATATTTTAAATATTTTAAGTATTTTTAATCTTAATGCTCCAAAATATTAATTTTACTCTTTCATGTCTAGCAAAACAAGGCAGAGGAAAGTGTGAGCCAGTGGGGAATGTGATTCTTCTACACGTACTTGACAGGCAAAATACCAGTTTGGGGTTGTTTTGTGGGATTTTTGTGGGGTTTTTCATTTCATTGGGTTTTTATTTAGAAGACAGACATTTTCTGTTCTAATTCATAGGCAAGTGTCTGGCCAATACTTGTTCAGACATAATTCTTGCTATTGGTAACAAGTAGCATTACCATTGTGTTCTGAGACTTGTGCAAAGTGAGACATTTTAGATGGTGCTGTTCCCTCTTTTACTTTCCCATTGCTGACAGACTCTTTTGAAGGAGTTTCTGGTTCTCTGCAGCCTTGGTTTTCAAGGACTTAAACTGGCCAGCCAGACTAAAGAAGAGCTGCCTTGGGTGGCTCTCCCTCACATCTTTGCCCAGACTTTTGTCTTGCCTTTGCGTTCTGGTTCCTGAAATGCGTGGCCAGTGCACAGGGCTTTTGCCTCCTGCTAAAATCCCAGAAGCCACGGTGCATTCTGCTTGTGTTCAGGGACACACCTGGTGCACTGGCTTGGTTTGCAAGCTGCAGGTTGAGCTCTGGGTAGGAGCTCAGAGAGACAGGAGGATGTGACCTGTGACCCTTTGCATGCCAAGGGGTCCCATGACCAGCTGGGTGAGGGACACCCAGAGCCAGGGCAGGAGCCCAGGGCTCAGGAAGAAGAGCCAAAGCTTCCCTGTGCTCAGGCTGTGAAGGGATAAAAGCTCAGGATAAAAGTCTTTGTGGGGTCCCTCCTCAGAGGCACAGCCTCAGGCTGTGGCTGTGTTACTGTGCTGGGAATAAATGGCTTTATGGAACGAGAGATCTGAGACTCTGCTGAGAGAAACCTGGGCTGGAACCAGTGAGGAAACCTGCTCTGGCTGTGAGTGGGGCATGGGGAGTCAAGAGGGGATCTGGAGCTGCTGATGAGTCCCAGCAGTGACAATGTAGGGTGGTGGGAATGTACCTGGCAGAGAGTCCCATGAATGGTCACACTGGGAAGTTCCCTTTAATAGTTGCATGCCCACAAGAGTGAATTCATTAATCTTTTTGTGGTTACTAGAGATTAAACCAAGCAAAGAGCCATCTGTGGAAAAGAATGAACTGAATGAGATTAACATGGTACAGATGATGTTTAGGTCATACAGGTAATATTTAGTTGCTGGTTTCAATATGTCAGATCTAGCTACACATTTTCCTTTAGACTCTTTCTGCAGCTTTAATCCTCTCAACTGCTACCCTTAAATTTGTCTACTCCTAAATATCTTTTGCACATTTTTTCTATTGTGTGATTTCTTACATCTCTTTTTTATGGATCAAATTAATTTTTGTGTCTTTGTTGCTTATCGTTTTTCCTCACTTGTCTCCTCTGTGCTGATGAATTCTGCCTTATGGATTTTCAAGAGAAGATAATATTAGAAAGAACCTTGACATCTTTGAAAGATACATCTGAAATGCAGGATTAGGGCGTGCAGAAGAAATACACTCATGGCAAGGGTGAGACTCAAAGCTATTGAACCTGTGAATTGATTCTTAAATTTTCTTTCTACATTGCCATTCACCAAGTTTACCCTGCTGAATGGAAAGGAACAGGAATATCAAGGTAGTGAAAGTCTGGAGGAAAAAGGTCCACTGGCAAAATGATTCCCTGAGAATGAACCTTTGTGCTCTGTGGATATAAAGGGTGAATGTTGTCACTGACCCTGGACTTTAAACACTGACCTAATGAGATTTCTCATTAGTTTGTGGTATAGCTGAGACTTACATGAGCTTAAAGTTGTAGCCAAGGTTGGGGGGTTTATTTTAAATTTAAATGCTTGAG